AATTAAACCCTCAGTGTCAATCATGCAGTATTGATCAAAAGAACAAGATAACTTCTAGTTGGTCCAAACATAACTAAGCCTTAGTAAAACCTGACCACTCAACCTATAAATCACTGAAGAACCTCTTAAACTGCTGCACTCTCCAAATCTCTGGACTTCTTTTCCCTTCGCGTGGATCACCAAGAACGAATATCTTTTCGAAACGATTGAAACTCTAGCTAGCTCTTTCAATGTTAGAACTCTAAAAATTTATTGGTAGTAAAAGTTTTTGGTGTTTGATCCATTGATCTTTTGTATTTTGTTCTTTTGGTTGAAGCAAGAGATTTATGGAATACATAATTGGTCCCTATATCTTTTCTTGACTAAAATAAAGGCTCAACCAGTTGGAAAAGATTTTTGAGAATAATTATGAAGCTTGGATCATGTAGTTGAATAAAATGATCTTTGGATTGTGTTCTTAATCTTCAATAATGTGTTCTCTTAATTGAATAATTGTTCAGCCACAAAAAGAAACGAAATATGGCTTGAGTATGTATAATAACCAATGTTTGAGGTTGAATAGGATTGGAAAAACTGTTAAAATCACAAACTACGATTTTTGTACGTATGCCCATCATTTGAGCACCATTCATCATGGCCAACGAGAGGTAAGGCATAGCTCGAGCGGCGCCTTCATTACAATTTCAGCTCGAGCAAGAGGTGGGCGTCTGGAGAGCAGTTTTGTGGCTGTTTTCCCTCTTTTGTCAATCTTTCACATGTTGACTTTTTAAGATCTATACTATCAACTCTCGACTCTTTGACTTTAATTACAGCTCGATAACACGTGATTTTGGACATGGAACTTGCCAATTTCAATTGGACCTAACAACTTTCTTTCATTAAGTCTCTAGACCTTTCTTCGATATTGGATGTTAGGATATTGTAAAAGTTAATTAATGGAGCGGCTTGTTATCAGTTTAATGAGGTAAACAAAAAGAGTTGCCAATTGAAGACAAAATGTTGTTCAAGTTTCTTATACGTTGTTAATTTCATAAATATCAAAGTGAATTAATATTGTTGACTTTCGAAAATGGTCAACAGGTGTCGTTAGAAGACAACGTACACGTGAACATGTTTTGTAGTATTTTTTATGTAAATATGAGGGTTTGAGAAAGAAGATAGAGACAAGGGAGAGATATATTATGTTTTTCTTCTTTTCATTCCAAGATCCATCCTCTAAAATGATACAAGAAATGGGTATTTATAGTGTTACAAATGAGATGTTGTCTATTGGATGAGGAGCCACGTGGCTACATCTTCTCAACCAAAGCATCTAATCATAGTCATCATTTTTGACTTCTTAGCCTGTGGTGCATTTAATGTTCTTACACATATCAATTATCTTATTGACAAGACAAGATATTTATACTCATTACATAGGTCACATCAATCAGCTCCAATGATACGCTTGTCAGACCCTTTGGGCATCAAGGACCTCGGTGCCAAGGGGTTCGGGAGGAAAACATCAACCCACTTCGGATGACCAAGGTTAAAACCACTTTGGAGAGTTCTAGTAAAATGACCTCAGAGTTCAGTGCAACAAGCCGTTGACCACTTACACAGTGCTTAGATTTAGGACCTCGGCCACTTACTCAGGGCTTCGGCTTAAGGACCTCTTGAGCCTCGGTTTGAGGCATGGACTTCTTCTTGAGCTTTGGTGGACATTCTTGAAAGCACTTAAGCAAGCATTTCGGCCATATTTGAAGGCATCTCGGCTTACCTTTTGGAGAGCCTCAGCTTGGATTTTGTAAGTACCTCGACTGACCTTTGGAAGAAGAAGGCCTGGCTTTCGCTACCTCTGTTACCGCTAGAAGTAAGGTACGTCCATTACGCTCCAGGCTCTATCGGAACCGAGCGTACCTTGGGACACGCACTACAAAAGGCTTAGGAAGCGGACCTGTCTGATGAGGGGTAAATAAGCCCTGAAATACAAAGTGGGAACTTCAACTGAATTACTGATTTACATCTCATCCATGCATTCCACGCGTATTATTGTGGTGCCTCTACGTGACATTTTATATTCGACCAGCAACAAATATTTTAGATCGTCTTTAAATATTATTATTTGGAGCTTGAATTGTACACTGCCTAATGGATCACAAATATTTATCGAGCCTCGACATTTGGCAAATTAAAGATGATTGATTTGTAAAAGCAAGTTTTCAACAGAAAAATAAGTATTTAATTTTAATTAATTAAATCATTTATTCAGGTTGCCAAGAACCTAGTTTATGTCGTATCGAAAATAGTATTTTGAAGTTTATGTCAATGGTTAATTTTACTTTGAAATTGTTATTTATTTTTAAAATTCAATTATGTAGAATTTAAATTGAATTATAATCATTTTTCTTTGGAAAAATTGTAATTAGGGTCTCAAATCTTTTAATTTGTTGCAGGCTATATCTAAGACTTTTAGTTTTGCATCCAGGATCCCAAACCTTTCATTTTAATTGCAGCAGGGGTACAATAGACAGACTTTGTCCATCAATCTAATAGTTTACACCCAAAGATTAAAATTTTGATTTAATTTCACTAACTAAAAGAAGGGTACAATCGTCACTTCATCATTTACCCATAAATTAATTAAAAAAAGAGAGAAGAAAATTAAAAAAAAAAAACTATTTATCTTCTTTCCCAAACCCTCAACCACCCACTCACCCTATCTATCCCAACCAACCATATCCATCGCCATTGTCACTATTTGCTACCATATATTACATCTCCTGCCACTATCACTATCACCATCACCACCATCCAAATCTCAGATCCTACATCCTATTGCAGAGAGAGAGAGAGAGAGAGAGAGATTGTTAATCATGATGATGGTGTCTCCTTATGACTTAAGGCTTATTTATTTTTCTTTTCAATTTTTTTTTAATTTCATTTTCTATTTTTTTTATTTAATTTATGAAAAAATGAAGAAGTGGCGATTACCCTTCTTTTAATTGGTTAAAGTAAGTGTGTTTTTTAATTTTTGGATCAAATAACTGATTAATGGATGGATATATCTATTGTCCTCTAGTTGCAGTCAAAATGAAAGATTTGGGACTGTGGATGTAAAAATAAAAGGTTTGGTCGTTTGGATATAGTTTCGTCGAAATGGAAGGTTTGAGACCCCAGCTGTAATTTTCCACTCTTCTATTCAAAAAATAACTAAAGAAGAAAATATTTTAAAGCACTTGGTCAATAGTTCATCAGACCACTTGGATATACAAGAGTCATGTCTTCACTCCACAATTGAATCCACTTTTCGAACCCAAAATTTACTTGAAGAGGTGAATTTTGTAAAAATAATGCTATTCGCAGTCGCTTACTGCGACAGTATCTCTACGTGACATGCACATGACAAGTGATTATTTGATACATTAATGTGATATTTTTATTAACTAATGCATCAAATAATTATCTATCATGTGTATATCACGTAGGACGATTGCTAAGCGACTACGAATAGCATTATTTATTTTATAAATGTCAATATATTACTAGAAAATAAAAATAAAACTAAAATAGCAAATAAAGACTATTTTTTCCGGGGCCACAATTTAAAAAAAGAAAAAAGAAAATGAGGGCCCCAACATATGAGGAATAAAGGTAGAAACCAAAGAAAATAGAATTATGTTGCAAGTACACTCATTTTTACCCTATTTTTGACAATCCTCTCACATTACACAAGTGGGTTGCGATTACAAAACCTGCTGTACACTCATTTTGATAGTCCACTCATGCGGCAAGTCCCATGATTAAAATAATCGCGGGACTCACTTGTGTGAGTAGACTATCAAAATAAGTGTGCAGTAGGTTTTGTACATAGCATAATTCAAGAAAATAAGAGTACAAAAAAAATATAAAGCCGTCATAAGATAGCGACAATGGAAGAGGATTTGTGGGGTTGGATTAGTGAGGGTGTCTACTTCCGAGATTAATTTGTTGGAGAGAGTGGAGAAAGTGAGGGAAGATTTGCAAAGCTCTGCGACAATTATTCAAGTTTCGTTGAGGAAACTGGAAAAACTCGGAATTCTGTGGATCGGCCCACGATCCACCGATTCTAGGGTGTGTTTTTCTTGTTTGGTTTTGGGGGGGGGGGGGGGGGGGGGGGGGGGGGTTTTGGGGGGGGGGGGGGGGGGGGGGGTGGGGGGGGGGGGGGGGGGGTGGGGTTTCAATTTTTTAAATTTTTAATTATTTTTTTATTTCGTTATTTTAATAGTTACGTATGAGAATATGAATAATGTTATGCAACTCTACTAAGGTTACAATTTCCAATTTAAGTGACGCTAGATGATAAGTTGAATGAAAGATGAAATTAAATGACTTATTTAATTCCACCTATCATTTAATGCTACAATTAACGTTACCTAGATTGAGTTGTAATCTCAGTGAAGCTAAATAAAGTTATCATTTTAGCTTTATTAAAATAGTTAATAATGTGGTAGAAATTATTTTTGGTCGATTATTATTTTTTTGGATCGGAACTGTCCATGGGACCCACCATTACATATTAATTATCTAAAGAATGAATTTTTGAATAGTAAATTTTTTGAGAATGTGTAATTGAAAAGTGGAAAATGTTTTAGGTTTACGTGAAGAACATTTTATTGTGAGAATGTGAGGTTGGTAATGAGTATTTGAAAGAATGGTTATCAATCAAGGGGCTAATCTTAAAGTTTGGGACTTCGGGAGCAAAAATTAAAGTTTTGGGATCATCTACTTTTTTGAAAGCTTTGGGACCTTTGGTGCAATTTACTCTATTTTTAATGGCCTTGAAGCTGTTTCCATTGGACGTTCAGTTTTGAAAAACTAATGGAATATTCTAATTTTTTTGTTTTCTTCTCTCTCTCTCTCTCGCCCTCTAGAAGACAACTCGTGCCCCTCGCGCTCCATTAAAAAACACCTCTAAGAATATACCATACACAAAAATTTGGATTTTTTAATGATTCATAGGCCACGAGCTCTATAAAATTACCTCCGCACAAAATGAAAAATTGCAAGTGATTCAGTAAAAGAAAGAAAAATTCAAAGTTGATTATAAGTTATTGGGAGCGATAATGCCAAAAGCACATTTCGTTGCAGTGCATGGTGTAGGCCATGGAGCTTGGGTTTATTACAAGCTGAAGCCGCGTATCGAGGCAGCTGGCCACCGGTTCACGGCGCTCAACTTGGCTGCCGCTGGTGTCAATGAAAAGAAACTGGAGGAGGTTCGTTCATTGTCTGAATACACAACGCCTCTGTTGGACTTTTTGGCCTCAGTTCCTGAGAATGAGAAGGTGATACTGATCGGACATAGTGGTGGCGGAATGAGCGCCGCCGTGGGCATGGAGAAGTACCCGGGGAAGATTGCGGTGGCTGTGTTTTTGAATGCAATTATGCCGGACTCCAAAAACAGCCCCTCCTATGTTTTGGAGCAGGTAATAAAAAATAAATAAATATATAAAATAAAATAAAAAAATTATTCCTCATTGATCTCCATTATATAAAAGCTCACCTTTTTTTTTTTTTTTCAAATTCATTTTCGACCTAACATTCTTCCGATAAAATAAATTTACATGTAAATTCAAAGCCCCAAACATTTTAAAATCACTATTACAAAATCTATTCTTTAGAAAAAAAAGAGACCAAACCACACCATTAAGGTGCTATGATAAATACATTCATAATTTTAAGTTTAGTATGTAATATATCCCCTCAGTCATGCTCAAGTAGACCTTAGTTTAAAGAAACTTGGAAATATCATATTGATTTGGAGTTGAGATTTGCTGTTCAATTTTACTATCCAAATGACTGTTCATACAATAAATTATCGAGATGTTATCAATAATTAATATATCATTTCAAATTTACCCTCATTAATGCCATCACTAACCAATCAAATTGATGACATGTCAATAATTCATCTAATGTACAACCATTTGAGCAGTGAAATTGGGCAGCAAATCTCATCTCGTTGATTTGGTGCGGTAGGGATAGATTTTTTGTTACAAATTGAGTGAGTTTGAGGAGGAGTGTAGTTGAGTAGGGGGTAGGGGATTGGTTGGTGGAGGATTGATTTGTGGGGTAGTGTTGGTGGTGACAACTAGTTGTTGTTGGCTTGGATGGGAGTTGCGGGGTGGATTGGGTATTGGAGAATAAGACTTGTTTGTTGATTTTGAGAAGATTCAAAAATTTTGCTGCAATATATCTTTTATTTTTAATTTAGTTGTTATCTTTTTCATTTTTTGTTATTAATTTAAAGAGATAGTAAATTCGTTTTTCTACGTTTCAAGAATGGTGGAATGACGAGTTTTGCTACACTTTCGAAACAGGATAAAGCTATCCTGCCAAGAATAGCTTCAAGGGATAAAAAACAGGTGCTGTGGCAGCACCTGTTTGGGGTTTTCGTTTTTTTTTTTTTTTTTTTTTTTATTTTTTT